TCTGTCTGGGTGAAGTCGCACCGACTTCTGTGTCACTTGGCAGCTGATTATTTTGCCAATCACAGAGGCAACATTATGAGTACTTGCATCTTTGTCAAATTGTATATATATATATATATACACATACAATCAACACCTCAACCCGCCAGGATTCGAACCCACGGCCCACGAGCCCATGACTGTGACCGAGGAACGCGACCACTGGACCACCAGGATACTAAAATCAATGATAGACTCTGTTATATTTCACACAAAGCCTGTTCAACGAGCTTATGGCGTCGTGAACCTCTAATGGGGACGACCCATATCACGTAGGTGGTCAGAGTAACGTTTTACCAAATCCGGCTTCGAAACACGAGGATCCATATATATTTCATTAGCCCAATAAAGCTTTATTGGGCTAATGAAATATATATATATATGCAAGTAAATCACTGTAGGTGCGCGTGATCTAGGTATATGCTGATAACCACAAGGAAGAAGAAACACGAAGTTCCCAAGCGCTGTGTAATTCACATCTTCAGGGTGAGTACAGACTAAGGAGAAATACATAACATGGTATATATATATATATATATATATATATATATATATATATATATATATATATATATATATATATATATATATATATATATACAGAGGAGGGTGAGATCAGGTCCACAATGGTCAGCAGGATTCCTACTAATCATCAGCACCGCAGCAGTCAGTCGTCAGGGGGTAAGATGACCCAACCTTCTCACCTGGTTACAAATCTTCTTAATTACGAAATCAACCAGTTTGTACATACCATTACTCAAATTCGTGTTAACGGATTCGGTATGTTGAATGAGACTGGATTCTATAATGTTCCTACTGTCAATTGAATTACAAGGTAATATTAAGGAGGCAATATTCCAGTCAATGCAATGCTTATTATCCCTCAAATGAACAAACAGAGCATTGGATTCCTGGCACATGGTATGTACCAACTGATAATTTCGTAATTAAGAAGATTTGTAATCAGGTGAGAAGGTTGGTATCTTACCCCTGACGACTGACTGCTGCGGTGCTTTTGATGATTAGTAGGTCACTACCAATGCCTGACCATTGTGGACTTAAGAACATAAGAATGGAGGAAACTGCAGTGGGCCTCTTGGCCCATACTGGGCAGTTCCGTTTACACCAACCCCTATTGCTCATATAAGCATCCAACCTATGTTTGAAGCTATTCAGCGCATTCGAGTTAATGATGATATTTGTAACTTGTTCCATTCATCCACTACTCTGTTTCAAACCAGTGTTTACCGATTTCACGCCTAAATCTAAATTTATCTAATTTAAAACCATTACGAGTTCGCTCCTGGTTGATAGTTTGAGTACCTTTGTAATGTCCCTTTGTTTAGCCCTGCCTTCCACTTATACACCTCTATCAGGTCGCCCTCGCTCTACGTCTCAAGGGAGTGCAAATTAAGATGTTTAGCCTGTCTCTGTGCTCAAGGTTCCTAATGCCCGGGATTAGTCTTGTCATTCTCCTCTGAATTCTTTCCAAGGATTCTATATCCATTCTGTAATGCGGTGACCAGAACTGAACTGCGTAATCCAGGTGTGGTCTCACAAGAGCAAGATACAGTTTTAGGATGACCTCGCTAGTCTTGTAACTAACACTCTTTGTATGAACCCAAATACTTTATTAGCCTTGTTACGAGCAAAAACACATTGTTTACTTGGTTTAAGGTTCCTACTTATCATTACTCCTAAATCTCTCGCAGTCGGGTTTCTATGGCATCGTTGTTCATCTGGTATCTGGTTTCCTGTTTACATCTCCTATACTGAGTACTTTACATTTGTCGACGTTGAATTTCATCTGCCATTTTTCAGACCATTCGAAAAATTTGTTTAGATCTTCCTGTAGTTTTGCTGAGTCCTCGTCCTCTGTATATATATATACCATGTTATGTATTGCTCCTTAGTCTGTACTCACCCCTGAAGATGTGAATTAACGAAACCGCTTGGGAACTTCGTGTTTTCTGTTTTCCTTGTGGTTATCAGCATATTTAAATTGAATAAGTTTAGGTTTAGGAGGGAGATAGGAAGAAACTGGTTCACAAATAGGATGGTGGACGAGGAACAAGCTTACAACTTTGTAAGTGGTTGTAACTCGACAGGAGCTGCTAGCACAGGCCAACCGGCCTATTGCAGACTCCTTATTTTCTTATGTTCTTAGGATTAGGTTGTCGCTTATGATGATATTTTAATCCTGCCTTGAATTATGACTGTGAAGCCCTTGTATTACGATTACTATGTTTTGTACTCATGTTTAGACAGATGCACACGTTATGGTTTATATATTAGATCTGTGGTTAATTGATGTTTTGGTATTTCGAATTTTGTATTTTTGGATCTGTATATATTCACTGTTGGATATCTTGTACTTTAAAATAATTGTTGCAGCTCAAAACCCTTGTTCAGTTGCTGTACGATATGCTACATTTCATTGACTGGTGAACAATTACTCCTAAGTAAAGTTCCGTAATGAGACGGTTTAATTTCTTTTGCATTATTCACGGAAACGTAATTCGTATCTGAAAATAATCTTTATTTACGAATTTCCACTCTTGAAAATCACGTGAGATGTGATACAGCCTAGATGCCTGCCTCAACCTGCCCCATGATGAGTAGTGTCCACCAAACACAGCAATTGAGTTCTGAGATCGAGGACAGCCGAGGATTGTAATCTTCCTTGAATTAATTTTAATGGCTTGTATATTTCTCATTTTGTTTTTGGAAAGGTTTATCAGAGGCCACCGGGTAACTAGTGAAGCTCCTGAAGGTAATATACTCATGTACGTGTGCCTGATCAGTGCTGTACACACACGGCCTAAGACCTACAGTAGTCTGAGTCTGGCCTTACAGCTAACAAGATCATCTCTCAGTCTTATGTCCGTGTTTCTGAGGTAGGGGTACTAAGATACCTGTAAACAATAACCATTCGAGTTTTTGCCCGGATAGTAATAACACCGGTCAAGACAATTTTTCTGGCACAAGGTTTTGAAACGGATTTTAAGTAAATTTGGGGTGCAGAATCCAAATATGACTTTGGATTTTGTCTCTCATCAGGTTTTGAGATATACCATATTGCACTTTGCTGGGAAACGTAAACTTTGGATCAAAATTGACTGTTTAAACATGTATACATAAATTTTTTCAGCATTATAATTTGTATTTTTCTATAACCAAAATTGTTAATATCAAATTGGAAAGTTAATGCACATATAATATTTAAATGTAACATTGAAGGGTGAAAAAAACAATTAATGTACGGTAGAAATAGTGCAAGTATTAAGATCAAGTTACAGTTACATAAACTTCCTCTTTTTGCCGATCTCTTATGTACAGCTTCTGGAATGTCTCTCATCAAACTCCAGCAGTAGTCCGCCATCATGTTCGAGTCCCATCGACCTTGGTAACGTTCTTCCATTACTTTAATGTCTTGATGAAAGCGCTCCTTGCTCCTCGCTCACTTCTCCCAGATTTTCTGGAAACTCGTCCAAGTGACTGTGTAAGTAGTGAACCTGATACTCATTCTGCATCCAAGTGCTTGTAAACTCAAGAGCAGCTCTTCCACAATTTCTTGATAGTTGTCCGCTTTCTTGTTCCCTAAGAAGTTCCGCACCACATTAAGCATTCCAAGTTCTTGCCTGTGCCTCAGTCATTGTTGCAAGGAAGTGTGGATCTCTGAGTAGTGTTCTTATTTGAGGCCATCAAAATCCCTGCCTTTTTTCTTCTCGTCGCTAAGACTTGGAAAGGTTGAGCATATATATCTGAAACACTCTCCACTATGATCAAGAGCCTTGACGAATTGCTTCATGATACCAAGTTTTATGTGCAGAGGAGGAAGGACAATGTTTTCCTGCAACCAGGGATCGTTAATGATATTTTGTCACCGGGTCACTTGTCTTGGTGGATTTTTCACAATGTCTGTTGTGTGTAGCAGAAAAGGTATTTTGTACCTCTTGCTGGCAGGTTTCCATTAGTCCATTGGTGGTATTGCAACCTCTCTAGAACAGTCTTAATGTTTTCATACTCTTCTTTAATTTGTACAGAATGTCCGATTGGAATTGAACCATACTTGTTTCCGTTATGAAGAACAACATTTCAAGCTCCTTTTAGAACTGTCAATAAAAGTCTCCAATCCTTACTATCATATGCTGGTAGTCCATGGAGAGAAGAAGTCCTTCTACATCATTACAAAAAACAAGCTGGTCATATGAATGAAAGTACTTCCGCAGTTGCTCTTCTCTGTTGCGATAAAGGAGACACTCGTGCCAGGTTTAAGAGTCGTTTCTCTTGAAGCCTGGAAGCTAACAATTCAGCAGACTGTTTTGTGAAATTTAGATCTCTGCAGATCATTCAATTCTGACTGAGTAAACAACGTTGGCTTTTCACAATCTTCACCAGATGGCTTGAAAAGATCAGTCTCTTCATCTTCATCAGTAGAAACAGGTGAATTCCGGTCTATATCCTCAATCTCTGGTAGCTCAGTAAATTCTGGCACGTTACGTGATGGAGCAAATCTGAGATCAGATTTAGATTCAGCACCTTAAAGTTAGTAAAAAACAGTTAAAAGGTTTCATGCCAGAAAAAAAAATATTTTTTGTAGACCAGTGAGATCGCTGTGATGTGTAAGTATAGTCCACTGTGACCAAACCTAACCTAACGTGTTTGTTGTTGAAATGATGAGTCTTAAGTGCGGATGTGATGATATAGTCTTGGTTCCTGATGCCTCTTTGCGATATTCAGTAGGACAGAAAAAAAAAAGATTTCTCAGCTATCTCCTACAACATCCCCCTGTAGGCATATCCCCATCATGATCTGGTACCATATAGTCTATACCTACCCAGAGTGATACACAGCGTCCGGATACTTGATCTTGAGAATGCTAAAGAGCTTATCATGTTAGCCCGACCCTCGGAAGAAAATAAACTGTGGTATACATGTAATATTTCGTTGTGTTTTAGATTGAAAAGTTGGTGTCGTTCATCGAGGAGCAGAAGAAAATCGAAGTGAAGGAGACGATTAAGAGAGGAGAGGAGGAGTACCAAATAAAGAAAGCGACACTCTACCAAGAAGGTGTTCAGGCCATCAAGGAAGAGTACAATAAGAAGGAGCATCAGTTCATAAGACGCCACAATAGGTCGTTTTTCTTGTTATTGTTGCACCTATTCGTCTGTTAGGTTCCTGTCACCTCTACTTTTAGCACTTTCAGTCTTCTATAATCCGGGTTAAGTCATTAGTTTGCTTAAAGTTTTTATAATCTCAACACAATGTAGGGAACTGTTTGACTATAATGGTTTAATCTTTAAATCTACAAAGCTATAATTCATTCTATAATTCTTAAGGGGTTAAACTTACAGTATCATGCAAATGAATTGGTTTATGGATAAACTAATTTAAATTAACCATAACAAATTTGACTACCTCATGATAAGTGACGTCAAATTAATTTCCATAAAGTTCTATCAATAAAAAGAGAAAGTTATCCCTGTTTGGCTATATTGTGTTGACGGAGTCTGTTGCTGGTATACTTAAATAACTAATATCTATAAGAACTGAATTAGGGTGTGAACCCCGATGGGCTGAACCCAAGGGCCGCCATCTTACTTCACGCAGGATTGCATATATAAGAAGCTACATGTCTGCCTCACGATGCATTGCTTTAATAATGAACGGGACTGCCACTCTGTTTTTCTCCCCAAATCTCTGTCTTGTATAAATATAATTATCTCCTCTTTTTAATGATGGCGGTAACTCCAATAGCTACGACGGTGACGACCGTAACCCTGGAATATCTCTCATTCTAAAAGTAGAACTCTTTCTCTCCAGCAAACTGAGTAAAATGGCGACATCGAATCGCAATCACGTGATAAATGAGAAATGGAAGAAGTTTGAAGAAGTGAAGATGGAGGCGTGGTCCATGATCTGTACACAACTAGAGGATGCCGTGGTGTACAACGAATTCTTGTACAACACACTGCTCGCAGGTCTTTGCCAGGTATATCTCACTTACTCCACCAGCGTTAGTAGCACCCTAGTGAAGCTCCCTACACGTGTCAGCTGTATATGTAGTAACCAGGGAGGATAGCTATATGACTCTCTCTCTCTCTCTCTCTCTCTCTCTCTCTCTCTATAGTTCCTCCACCGACAAGACCAGAGTCACCAGGGACAAGTTTTATTTTCTTGACGGACCTGAACTTTGATATGTTAACTCGGGAACTTCATCGTGCAGTACAAATTAAACTCTAATACAGGTACGGGTGAAGTTATAACATACCGCAATTAAAATACCCATAACCCCATCTTTCAGTAGTCAGTTGTTCTTATGATTATTACACGTAAAAAAATATAATCTTATATATTCCGTGTCTGAAGGAGAACGTGTTTATGAAATGTACTCAAACGTCTTCAACTTCAGTTTTAGATTTTTCTCATTACTTGATAAAAATTACACGTTTAAAACCTTAGTCTCGTTTTTTAAGATATAGTTTCGTATTTAAAGACCTTAGTACAGTAGTTTAAGTGCATCAAAACCATTACTATAACGTCAATAGTGTAACTCAAATAACTTTTAATTGTTATGGTACTACTTTAATTACCAATTTGGCATACATCCTCGGAAGCCTTATTAAGCTGTTCAAGTGCAGTAATTCATCATAAGGTCAACGACTAGTTACTCAAGGGATGTATGAATTGTGTTTTAGTGGTTAGTATCCTAGATGGCACGCTTCAATACCTTAATTATTGATGGACAGTAAAACACTTTAGCAGGAGTGTATGCCCGAGGAGCCAGAATTTACCACCGTATATCACCCGAGACTCCGACTTAGAGCCACAATTAAAAAGTCGGATATAAATTTTCTTCCTCGGGACTAAAATGAACAGGTATTTGAGAATGCATATTATATACAAATACATATATAATACTAATACCAACTTACTCTTTGACTTGTGGGACTTCTGCCAATCTTTGCTTTCAATAATTAGTTCGTGTTCAGTTGTGCTGTATGTCAAAACGGATCGATGCTTGGATTTCCCTGTTGGAGTGTCGAGAAAACACTCAGGAAGAAAGGTTGAGAAAAATATCAAGATTCATTTCAGAACTTCATTTCTGATGTTAGTTCATGTTAATTACCGTGTCTTTTGGTACAGTATTCCAGGAAGTAATGTCCCCCTCTGTCAGAAATCTAATTTGAGGTATTTTTCGCTGCGAATCCTGGAACCTTTCTTCAAAACTGTCTTGAAGTCCACTACTTATGATTAAATGAGAACTCTCTACTTTATAGACACAGAGAACCTTGGTCGCCTTATGCTTATTCAAAGATTCCGGGAGTCACATATTACCCTCTCGAGAGCTGTACGCGGCTCCACACAATCCTGTAGACGTTTTGCAGTGTGGTGTGAGTTGAACTTCTGCATCAAGGTTCCAACACTCGCTTGTAAAGATGGTGGAGGCCGGACGCGTCTTGATCCTAGCGCGTTTGGGTGTTGGGCCGCGGGTCACCGTCTGTATTGAGGTGCTAAGACACAACTGAAAGCTGTAATAGTCATTAGTTCGTTGTCAGAAATGTGTACCAGCGTTTGAAAGTGTATAACGAAAAACTTCAATCAACCTTCCATTATTTAGAGAAAATAACTAAATTACCCACCAATAAGCAGTTACCCATAGGATGAGAACACAGCAATTTTACCTATAAATTACAATACACCTTATATTGAAGATTATAATCATCAACAGCAGCGCATATAATATGAAATAATAAATGCTAAAACACTACAGTACAACTTAGTAAAGAATAATAACAGATGACAGCATCAACAACGCCGGTAACAGAATAATAAAAACTTTAAAAAAAAATATCTGTCTAGATGCAGGAAGGTAGCCGCAACTAGGAGAAACAAGGCTGCAGGTTGTAGAAGAAATACCAGGAGCCAGGGAATGGTGTTTGCCACTTGCCAATAGGTTTGTTTTGGCTGAACAACTGTTGAACCAGCTGTTAGTATCCTGAGGAACAGTTTTAATTTCTTACATTGTTCCTTCGTGACCCTTGTATGGTCAAAACCACCCGAGCACAACACGTGTTTGTTTCTCCGGCAGAAACAGCAAGAGAATTGGTATTGTAACATAGTACACTGCTTGATGCATCATTAATATATTCCCCGTATTCTTCACTACAGTTCGACGAACGGCACTTATGGGTACGTATTCGAGAGGCAGATTATTACCGGACAAAATGCTGTATACCAATTGTAGAACGGGAATTCAAGAGTAAGTCTGGCCGCACGAGCGAACTGCAAATTTACTTCAGTAGGCTCCCGCATGACTGGTAAGTGAGTGGTGTGGGCGCGTGTAGCTTGGCGGTGTGGCAGGGCGGTATCTGAGGTGCGTGCGTGTGTGTGTGTGTGTGTGTATGTGTATGTGTGTCAAGGAGACGGTTCTAGACATGGGTGAGAGCTTAAGGAACAGATAATTGTAGCCGTAGTAGTAGTATCACCCTAACATTATTAATTTTATTATATTATGATGTTGATATTATTACAGCAGCTTATTGGCCGATGAAATAATGTCTCATTTTACTAGAGTAGAATATGTTTATAGAAAATAGATTATGGGGATATACTTCTCCTCAGTGAAACATCTTAGGAAACATTTGTGATTCTATAGGCTGTAAAATTACGATGTATTTGTTAGGGCCTGAATACATCAACATCCGCAGCTGCATATTGGAACTTGTTTATATCTCAACAGTACTGGCGGTGCTGAGTTTTTCACCAGGAATGAAGAAATTAGCTGTTCCAGTACAATAGAGAGTCGCTTTCATCTCGTCATCAGGAACTGCCTACCATACCTCCAGTCGCTTCTCTTCACGTCTTAGAAAAAAAATTGTCGTTGGGTTTAAAAGTACGCCTCCACGACCCACCGGACTTTTATTACTAATGTGGGAGTTGTGTTATATATTTCTTCTTCTTTTTTTTTTAATCTTTATGGTAGGCCCTAAACTTCGCGTTATTTTTAATTTATTTTCTTCTTAATTTTACCAGGGATATACTATACGTTTAGGACTACTATACTAAGGTTAGAAGGATTTTGTTTTGAATATTTTGTCATTATGAAATACAGTGAAATATACGGAGCACAAGTGAATGTTTTTGTGTCTTAAGATTTACAGCAGTAATGTTTATCTCTAAAAAAAATAACCTTGTGTTTTTGTGATTCGGGTGTCTTGGGTTGAGGATGGAAGGTCGATTAGGGCAGGGGTGTCAGGTGTGGCCCGCAGGATGACGGTAAAATTTATCATCCCGTGAAATTATGAAAAAAATGCATATAATCATGTTTATTTAGTAAAATGAATCTTACATACTTAAGATCAGACAAACCCAAATGAGGTATTCCTGGTAAGCCAGGCAAGGCAATGTGTGAAGCTGTAAACTTCAATCCTGCAAATATGTGATATAGCACTTGTGTTGGCCCTGAAGAGGGTAACTAAAATAAGAATTGGCCCTCGAAAGGTTTTGAGTTTGACACCACTGTCTTAGAGGATATCAGGAATTGGATTTGATGATGCTGGAGTTCTAGAGAGAAAATATAAATAGTGATAAAGTTTAAAGAATGTGGAAATACTTTTTGTCCATCTTTACTTTTCATATGTTTATCTTTATATTTCGGGATTGTTTAATTTTATTTTTTTTTAATTGTAAGTTGATTTTGTTAAACTCATTGAGTATGGTGACCTGGGCAGGGATTAAACGTAGGAGACAATAGTGAGTGTTAGGTTAGTTTGAGTTAGTTTGGGTTAGTTTAGGTTAGGTTAGATTAGGTTAGTTTCGGTTAGGTTAGATTAGGTTAGTTTCGGTTAGGTTAGGGTATTTTGATAGCTTGTTAGGTTGTAAGGTTAACTTAGGTTAGGTGAGGTTACTACTCCATAATATATCCACGCATTGCAACATAGCATAAGTTATATATATATACAATAGTTACTGCTGTTTAGAAAATATATTGTTTTCTATAATAAAGTTGTTTTTGTTTTCTGTCGCTGGTTTTATATATCACACTGAAGTATATTTAGTTGTTTTGTTTTCATCTCACTGACATCACTTCTAACCTCTCAACTTTTACCTCATATTCATTCAATCAACGTGTGTAGGACCCTCCCAACTCCATTGTCTCGCCGAGGTCTATTTTACAGTCTAGTCCTGTCGTTTACGTTCAAGACTTGTGCTGGTAAACTGTGCTATAGGTCTACCAGTCTCTGTTTGAAGAAGTATATCCTTCTATTCCTCATTGGCGAGCCTGAAGGTGTGTCATTTCGTGTTGGTGGTTCGTAACAGTACAAAAAAAAATTTATACGAGTTTGAGTCTTCCGTTCCCTTTAAGTTTCAAGCTTTGTAGTGTTTATATGTGATCCGTCCTACTTGGATAATCGAGATGGTTTGTGCAGGAATAATCTTCGTGACGCTGTGTTGTACCTTATGTAGGGAAGTGCGTGTGTGTGTCATTACATCCCGGAGCGTCGAGTGGCAGTGTAGGAGTTGAATTTTAAACAGATAGCAGTGGTGAGTTGGCCATAGACTGACAAGGAGGCAAAGGAAGGGGGTGAAGAGGAAGAGAAAGAGAGAAGGCTGGAACGAGTGGATTGAGGAGGAGGAGGAGGAGGAAGAGAGAGGATAAGGAGTTGTAGAAGAGAGAAGTAGGGAAGCAGAAAAAGGAATGGGAGAGTGTAGTGAAGATGGGGAGGAGAGGAGAAAAAAATAATTTATAGGAAGTAATAAAAGAACAATAAAGACAGGGTAAAGGAGGGTTGAAAAGCTTACAATGAAGAAACATAAATAGAAAGATTAAAAAAAAGGAAAGACGAAGCCATAAGGGGGAAGGACATGGGAAAGATCAAAGAGATAGGATAGAGAGGAAGGGAAGAAAAGAAGAAGAGAGAAAAGGGATGAAAGAGAAGTAAGAGTTAGAGAAAATGAGATAAAAGGAAGAACAAAAGAAGGAAGATACGTTGAAGGAAGTATAGAGATGAACAAGAAAGACGCAAGAAGAGAGGGGAATTTGAGGTTGAAGTTGAAAGGTGGGAGAGGGAGGGAAAGGGAGGTGGTAGTCGATTACGCCTCTACACACAACGTAAACATGACTGATTTAAGTAATTCATCTGGTGTTACAACAATACTACCAAGGTGATATTGGAAGGTTTTAGAGAGATTCGAAAATGTCCATGTTATAATGTACTACTACGTTTCAACTCCTAATATATTACGCGCGTAGTTTAGATTATCAAAAACATTGTTCATCATCAATTCTAGTAAAAATTAAGACAGATTTGAATTTTCTAAGAGCAAACTTGCATAACCACATCCTTCCACGCTAATTAATACTCTGAGGAGACAACGTTAAATGTGAAAGAATGTTATACTGTATTGTCCAGACACTGGTTACTAAATTCTGATGGTGTACACGGCTCGGTGGTGGCATGAATACTCAAGTACTTGTCTACACTTATCTTTGTCTGGAAGTGAAGGACAGTTTGGGTTATTTACCGCATCATTATGGTGTTGTGACGTTCCAACACACACTACTGTACACCCCGCCCAGTTTTCTTCTACACACACACACACACATACACACATGCGACTGCTGCTTTGTAAAGGAAGTTCTTAGCGCGTGTGTGTGTGGTCAACTCTCAGAAATGAGAAGCTGTGACGTCAATTGTAAACTATTAAGGCTTTGGGTTCCTAGAGTCTATTGGGTATGTCAGATTTATCTACTGTGAGAAAAAAGCTCCGACTTGTCCAGGTTCTCGGTAAAATATTGATAATCATGGTGTCACCGGCCACCGTAAACCTTCAGTGAATCACCATCGTAGGCGATACGGACGTGTAACTGAATTCTGACGTAGGAAACTGCACGTAGCACATTAGTGAATCCAGGACCTGAACTACCCATCAGTAGAACATCACACACAACTCTATATAAAACCGTCTTTTATATTCTGAATTAATTGTTTTCTTCCCGCGGCCAAGATGCCGGGAGGACAATTTTGGAATCTCTTGGATAGGCCTCCCACCTGAGTGAAGGGATGACAGCATAAGAACAATTCACTCAACTTTACTTAAACAGGATTCATTTCAACCAAAGTAGCTCCTATCACCAAGTTAGTCATCTGATCATTATATCCAACAGAGACCAACAAAAAAAAATTAAAATATTACCTCGCTTTAAGTAGGTGTGTGTGTGTGTGTGTTGCCTCATGGCTTACCTTCCTATTACTTATTCTGGTGTAATTAACCACGGATAAAATATGAGAATAGGATCACTTGAAGATTAACCCTCCATCTTATTTCACTTTAAGATTGACCTAACCTAACTGGTAAGCAGCCTTTAAGTTATATAAGGTTACATTTGTGTATAGAAGATGTTTTATTTACCTTAGGCGTAATCTAATCGTTGGAGGTCATCAGCAGGTAGATGGAGGGGTAACCTGATGATTCTATTAAGTCCTAGTAAGTGGCCCTCTTCTCCATGTAGCTCTCTTCTTACACCGCCTGGTTGTTCTCTACACTAGTCTAACACCGTACAGCCTCACCTCACTCAGAGTACAACATAATGTATTGTTAAATAAAGAATAGTTACTGATTGTGTTCCTTCAATAGTTCTTAGTTATCTAATTGTTACTATGTCTTCAAACAAAACACTTTGGCTCTGGCTGAAAACGTTAATTCCATTTTACTTTAGGAATATATATTATCGTTTATGGTGAATTCATTTGTAACGTATACATATTTTTGGGGGAGTACCGCCCATCATATAAATCAGGAACTCTTGTATATACACCACATACACATGAAGAGAGAGAGAGAGAGAGAAAAATTTTAATGTAAAATTTGTTCTTGTCTTGGGTCACTCCACCTTGGTCCGGCCCCCGGCTATCTCTGCCCTTGAGAAGGTGGCTGCTCCTCCCCTCCCTCCCATGACATTACTTATACAAATGATAACAGTTAAGATGTACAGTATATATTAATAAATGAATGACTAATATACAAGCCGATCAGTGGCGAAGAGGATAAAAGTAAGAGTAAAGTAAAAGTAAAACAATATATATAAATACACATAATAAATTAATTAATTTTTGAGACGCCAACAGAACCATAAATCCGAATTCATGTCTCTCGTCGCCAATCACGATTTGAAAATAGTGAAAAAAGAAGGTTATTTTGGTGACTTTCGCTGTACATTTTAGTTGTTGTTTATTTAATGGTTTCGAAAACTTAAAAAGGAGGAGTAGAAAGTTGTTAAAAAATTGGAGATATTTCTTTAATCTCTGGAACTACATTGATAACTGACCGACAGATGGCACCAGCATCTTTATCCCATTCATGTTATCGTTTCCCGGTATTCCTATATTAACGTGACCCTCTATATAAAGGTCGAAACTCACTCCTGACTTCCTAATTTGTCTCTTATTCGGTTACTTTTACCCGAAGGTCGCCACGCTAGACGTAATTGAGGTGTTGTGAGTGACGGACATGAGTCAGTCACTAGACAACGACGGATGCCAGAGTTTCGAGCCACTCTACTGTTGCTCTCTGTGTGTCCACCTCACTGCCCTTTAGTCCACCACTAAAACAGTCACTTTAATGTTGCAATGAAAATTTTGTATTGTTCTATTGCACCACTTGTTCTACAGCCATGCAGTGAAAGTATTTGTTGCAGCACTTGTTCTACAGCCCCGTTATACTCTAGTTATTAAAAGAAAAGCTATATACTCTATCATTCTTTAGTATCAATGCAACAAATTAATTATCTATAATTTGTAAACGAGATAAGAAAAGATAATAAACATAATATATAATTGCTTAAAGTATTAGGAACAATATACCATTACTTTAGATATTATAGAAATTATAATAATCACATTGAATATTAAGGAAAATAGACCATTCCATTGCATAGCTTAAAACTGCCTCTACATGTTACAGTAACCGATCCCTTACAAACTCTTGAGTAACATAACTGTATCAATGATGGAACCATTTTACACCATAGTTCACATCTACCATTTATTAGATAATGTCACAGTAGTAAATCAGAGTTTATAGGCTTAGTATCGCTCACCTGGGTATGACAACGCTTGCATGAGTCCCCGAGAGAACAGGCACTCAACTAATCAGAATGCTGCGACCTAACTATACAGTATATAACAAGTCTGTATAATTAAACCGGTTTTAAGTCTCAACACAGAGCAAGAGTATTTCACAGGTCAACAACATACTGGTTAGCACTAGAATAAAGTGGTTGCTGTAGTAAGGTAACCGGTGTAGTAAGGTGACCACTATAGTATGGTGACCACTGTAGTAAGGTGGCCGAAGTAACAAATACATTTTATCAATCATTAACAAACTTTCAACTTGACCTGGTGAGTGTGGGCCAGAGTGCAGTAATGATGTTACCTGTGTGTACTGTACAGTGGTTGGGTTACCAGTCATACGCTCTACCTACACACAGTCACATGGGATAGACAAAAAAATGGACAGCAGATCCCCTTTGTATTCAGGTGCACGAGAAGATACACACACACACACACACACACACACACACACTATATCCTTGGGGTGAGATCATCTTAAATTTACAAGTTAGCTGCCCTGGGTCGTGGCTTCATGAATATCATTTAGCTGCCCTGGGTCGTGGCGTCATGAACCTCCTTTAGCTGTCCTGGGTCGTGGCGTCATGAACATCCATTAGCTGTCCTGGGTCGTGGCGTCATGAACCTCCTTTAGCTGTCCTGGGTCGTGGCGTCATGAACCTCCTTTAGCTGTCCTGGGTCGTGGCGTCATGAACATCCATTAGCTGTCCTGGGTCGTGGCGTCATGAACCTCCTTTAGCCTGGGTCGTGGCGTCATGTCCTTAGCTCCTGGGTCGTGGCATCATGAACATCCTTAGCTGTCCTGGGTCGTGGCGTCATGAACCTCCTTTGCTGGTCGTGGCGTCATGAACCTCCTTTAGCTGTCCTGGGTCGTGGCGTCATGAACCTCCTTTAGCTGTCCTGGGTCGTGGCGTCATGAACCTCCTTTAGCTGTTCTGTGCCGTGACCTCCTGCGCCACAGTATAACCCACCAGTACCCTATCCGACCCACCTTTACTTTCTTGAATCTAATCGCCATATTCATTATTCTTATCGAGTACAAGTATCGCTATGTAAAAAGACGTGATATTTCAACTACAGAGAGAAGCTAGGAGTTCAGTACCTCTTCCACACCACCAGCTAGCAAGGCGTTCTCTGTGCTAAGTCACCTTCTGTATATATATGCAAATAAATCACTGTAGGTGCGCGTGATCTAGGTATATGCTGATAACCACAAGGAAAAAGAAAACACGAAGTTCCCAAGCGCTTTCGTGTAATTCACATCTTCAGGGGTGAGTACAGAGTACAGACAGTCTGTACTCTGTACTCACCCCTGAAGATGTGAATATATGAGAGATGTGACATATATGAGAGAAGAGCTCATTCTAACATCTAAGCATCAGGTAGCACAGTAAGTATAAGGTAGCACAGGTATGAGGTAGCACAGGTATAAGGTAGCACAAGTATAAGGTAGCACAGGTATGAGGTAGCACAGGTATGAGGTAGCACAAGTATAAGGTAGCACAATGTAAAAACTAATAATAGATCTTTGTCACCATCCTCTTATGCCAGATGGTTCCTGACCTGAATAAAAGAGTGAATTTAACCATCTTTCCTCACCCGTAATCGCCTCCTAACCAACCCAACACTGCTCCCTCTAGTCTCATTCATTGGTATCAAGCCCGCACCTTATCAGTCCTACCTTAATCCTGGTCAAATCCCACTCAAAACTCATCTAAAACTCACTCAAAACTCTTCCAAGACCTTTCCAAAAACCCACTTAGTTTCCAAAATCGTCTTTACTCATCATCATCATCTTGACTCTCCTGCCTTCCCTCCTACCCTTGTGTCGCCTCCACTCCTCTTACCCCATACCCTCTCCCCTACTTACCTACCTACGCACTCTCAGACCGCCTCCACAACTTTCCCTTTCGCTCCTGTGCCCGTGATGGAAGGGGTGGGGGAGGGGTTTAAAGGGAACTATTGGTGGATTTCACACACTACCATAGCACCTAACATTGCCTTATTGTCCTTGAGTTCCTACCATGTTATCCTTGAGTTCCTGCCATGTTATCCTTGTGTGTATCTTATGTTAATAAAGAGTTGAGGAGGAGGCCGTGTACGCATCAAGAATGTAAGAGAATGCGTATTAGGACCATTCAGAAAAACTTGGAACAGCTGACGCGAATTTATCAGGTATAATCGTAAATACTCGTGTGTGTGTGTGTGTGTGTGTGTGTGTGTGTGTGTGTGTGTGTGTGTGTGTGTGTGTGTGTGTGTGTGTGTGTGTGTGTGTGTGTGTGTGTGTGTGTGTGTGTGTGTGTGTGTGCGTGTGTGTGCGTGTGCGTGTGTGTTATACGCTAGAGTGATGCATGTACATAATCATAAATATTAAGTGTAATGTTTATGTATAAGCTGGCCATGTAGGAACGGTTATACTCAGAATTATAAATTACAAACGTGCTACTAGGTGTGTGTGTGTGTGTGCGCGTGTGTGTGTGTGTCTGTTTTATTAGGAGTATTGGTATGTGGGCGTGGCAGGGGAGGCTAAGTGGTGGTGGGGCGGCGAGGGCGACACGGCAGTCAGCTGGGAGACTTCCTCGGATCACCATGTTCAGCTCCAGGAAGGTATAGTAGGTCGTGCGTCTTGTGTGTGTTTGTGTGGTGGAGAGATGAGTAGTGTTATGGTGTATTGGTGGGTGGTAAAATAACTCAGGGTAGACCAACAAGTCCTTAAGATTCTGCCGTTTACACAAGGTGATGAGACGTATTTTTGGAGTTAAAATATTATATAAGACATTGGATTTTAGATACATGTTTAATATATGTTTCAACTTAAGGTTATTTAGATATTTTCATGAGATAAGGAAACAGTTTGAAGACTCTATTCATTACTCAACCCCGATGTGAGTCTTGATGATTTATAGCTTATCATGGTAAACAGTATTTCAAGATATATTTAGATACCAATTTTGATGCGAGAATTTGTAGGATATATATTTTGTTTTGTTTAATCCCTTGACTACGATGACGTGACCCATTGAATACGATTACTTTTTAGCCCCTTGAGTACGACGATGATTAAGCCTCGAGTACTACGATATTGCATTGAAGAGGATTGTCATCGTACTCAAGGAATTAAGTCATCATACTCAGGAGTTGATTTATTGTACTCAGGGGGAATGTCATCGTAGTGAAAGGGTTAATTGTTTAACTTCAAAACTCTTAGTGTTATTTGTAGATACGATGCGTTACTTGCGTTTTGGTGATGGCGTCAACGAACGGTTTCCCAACGCGGTGACAAAGGTAGTTAGACTTGTGATGCGCCATCCTGGAATTTGTGTGAGCTTTTATATTCCTTGGGGGGGTCACCGTCATAAATCCTCCATGACTGTACACAAACGGATATTCTGTCAGTTTTGCTGGAAGGTTTACTAGATCATCTGTGAACTATAGGTTAAAAAAAAGCTGAATAATCAATTTATTTGTTTGTAACTTTGTCAATATTACACAAAGTCGTCAATGTCCGATAGTGCGTTCGGGTCTTCAACAAAAGATGCGTTCGGTAATGTTCCCCCTGAGAAATAATCCGAGAAGTGACTGTGAACACACCACATCATTGTCGAAATATCAGGTATTCAATAAGGTGGAGATTGGCCTCACTAAAAGGCCAGGATGAAAAGGCCGACTCATAATTTTCTCTTCCCTGAACCAACCAATTCATAATTACACTAGACTAGCCTATAAATGTAGCTTACTGAACCTCATGTGGCAGTGTAGTGGCGTAACACTATTACCTCGACTTCTCACTCCTGCGACCATCACTGACACGTTCTCCTTGACCCCCTACTCGGGTGAGCTCGTCTCTCTTGACTCTTCCGCCGCTCAAGGTCTATAGAATTATGGCCTGATCACTCAAAGAAAACGGAACTTGAGTAAATCACTACTGTTAAAATGTCTTGAAAGCTATTTATGCAACTCACTTTTATTTTCTTAGTCACGCTTACAGAAATTGTACTCATACATAAACAGTCACTATGAAAACCTTGTAGCCGTAATGTAAGAAAATATCGAGGAAGTATTTTTTGTAGTTAAGTCTCGGGGACTTTATTAACCCGCTGTCCTCCGCCCATATGTTTATTTTAGGGGGGTTAGGTTAGGTTAATTTCTATTTCATGACAAATTTGTACTGTACCTGGAATGGAAGTTAGATATAATTAAAGCACATAATTACACGTTATAAACATAAAAGATAAGGTGGTCTTATATAATTACAACAGGTGAATAATATAGGTACTGTACATTTCTATATTATGGAAATGTTTACTTAACACACTATATATAGATTCTGTTGGTGAGTTTCGTCTAGATTTTTACTTTTTTTTTACCCCCACCCCTCCATCACCCAGTAATTGGTGGGTCCTCCCTACAGGATAAATAATTGTTATTCTCCTCAACTGCCTGTATCACAGAACTCTCCCAGACAATTAGTTCTCCATATTACATTTTGGGTGAGACTTGTACTTATTCCATGACCCACAAAGGCTCTATATTCCACATCTTCCTCAGCAGTCAACTTATTTTTCCTTATTATTTCGGGAGTGGTCAGTGGTTCATCCCTACTAAATACCAAACTATTCAGTGATTGTTTCGTCTGACGGTACACACAGGCTATATGGCGTATTGTACTTGCCTTGAACTTACAGTGACGGGCCGCGATAATTTACACTCAAATGATTTAATTCCAAGATGTATTTATAACAATATTCCTCTTATGTTTCAAATATTTACTTCACTATCAACATATTTATTACTCTCAGGCGTTGGTGATGGTGGTGTTGGTGATGGTGATGATGGCGGGGATGGTAGAACCCTCACCAGTATACGGCTACTATCGGAGGAGCTCCTACAGGCCTAGATGGAAAAGTTATCGCGGTTTCACGGTATGTAAACAGTTCTTCTCACTATAAGTTTTTCCTCGTAACTGAAGGACGAATCTAAGATGATTGATATATTCTGTAATAAAGACAAGCATTTACATTAACGGTGTGATTATATTGGATTTTTTATTTTAACTAAGAAGATACGTTCACTTATCCTTATTTAAGTTTAAAAATCGCTTTTCTTATCTATTATTATTATTAGTAGTAGTGGTGGTAATAGTAATACTGTAGTACTTCTATTTGCAAACTGAACAACAAATATTAAGGAAATCAATCCTGGAGGTGTAGTATCCGTACACCAAGGGGCAGTGACAGGTGTAAACACGACCGCGGTGACGCAGTGTAATGACCACACCTGGAAACCAAACAAAGATTCTTCAGTGAACAGACGCGACACTGTAAACAACTATCTCCTCCTTGATATACCTGTGTCATTGTGGGATGAATAGAGGGTGGCCGGTAATAAAGTCACAGGAAAAAATGTCACAAAAAAAAAGTCACAATTATGGCTAGGAAAAAAAGTCACAGGAAAAAAAGTCACAATTAATTTATGGTGGCCGGTAATAAAGGCTAGGTTAGGTTAGGTTAGGTTGACATATTAACCTTAAAAAATGTGAGAATTCGATAGTTAACTTTTCTTTTTTTCCTGTGACTTTTTTTCCTGAGACTTTTTTCTGTGACTTTTTTACCTGTGACTTTTTTACCTGGATTCGAATAGAGAACGCCAGCTTAGAGACCCCTGGTTGCTAGTGTTGTTTGAGAAGCTGTACTTTAAAGATTAAGAAAGAATTTGAGGATTGAGGGTCTAATACTGTATAATTAAATGTGTGTGTGTGTGGTTGTTTCCCCTCCCAGTCTCGCAGAAGGTCTTCCAAGACGTGTTGTTGGTATGGCTTTGACTCTGATGGATACTCCAGGTGAGTCCTCTTACTTTCCTGTGTCCGCTTCTCTGCCTCCTCCTCCTCCTCCTTCTTCCCTGTATCCTCTTCTCTGCCTCCTCCCCCTCCTCCTTCTTCCCTGTATCCTCTTCTCTGCCTCCTCCCCCTCCTCCTTCTTCCCTGTATCCTCTTCTCTGCCTCCTCCTCCTCCTCCTTCCCTGTATCCTCTTCTCTGCCTCCTCCTCCTCCTCCTTCTTCCCTGTATCCTCTTCTCTGCCTCCTCCTCCTCCTTCTTCCCTGTATCCTCTTCTCTGCCTCCTCCCCCTCCTCCTTCTTCCCTGTATCCTCTTCTCTGCCTCCTCCTCCTCCTTCTTCCCTGTATCCTCTTCTCTGCCTCCTCCTCCTCCTCCTCCTTCCCCGTGTCCTCTTCTCTGTCGCCTCCTCCTTGTCCTTCTCTTTCTATTCTCACCTTTCACTCCTCCTCCTCTTGTTGCTCCTCTCTGTCATCTCTTTCCCTAATTCCTGTCTTCGCCCGCTAGTTAAGGATCTCCATCATGCCTTAACAGACGCCTTCTGTAGTCCTATAGTTTAAGATTTAATTTAACTTTATACTATTTACTCAGAAACAACGGTTCAGGTACATGTACACTTACCAGTAAAGGTAGAGAGATTTCAAAACAGTAACAATATACATACAAATATAATCATGATCAAAGTATCTTATTTTTATGTCAATTTGTATAGAAGGAAGGAAAGTGAAGTCACGTAAGGATGGTAATGGTGGAAGGTTCACAGATATTTGATAATTTTTAAGAACAATTAATTGCCTCCAACTCTTAGGTGCATGGTGAACACTTTCCTCCGTCACTGTGTACTTAAGGTAGATCACCTGATGATTAGATCCCACAGTTTATTTCACCTGATGATTAAACACCCTAATGCTATCTGGGAAGGTTAGGTTAGGTTAGCGTTAGGGTATTTAATCATCGAGAGAAATAAGCTGGGGTGCTTAATCTTCAAGCTTCACATTCTACCTCAAGCTTAAATGATCATCCTTCCTGGCAGGAACGGTCGTGACTTGAGCAACCAGGCGCCTGACTTCACCCAGCTCACGGCAATGTAACTTTTACCCCGTGTTTGACCCTCCACCACTGCCAACCAGTGAGGTAAGTTACTATCAACACCTGGAGACAGTAATTGAGTAACCCCTACCCTGACAAAATTCGTTTGTTAATATAAATAACTAATTTCACCAAAAATCCTTAAGTAAATATATATATATATATATATATATATATATATATATATATATATATATATATATATATATATATATATATATATATATATATATATATAAAATTATGATTCCCCAGATGTGACGACGGTAGTGTGAGGTGACGATGACGTAGTCCAAGGACTGTCAACACCAACAGGTCTTCAGTGTACAGTTATTATCAAATTTCTCTTCTAAACCAACAGCTATAAATCTGTTTATAGATAAATATTGATGTTTAGCGTCTTTAATGATCCATAATACGCGTTTTAAGATCTTAAATCTTGTAACGCACCAATGCATTATTGTAACATTAACATCATGACAGACAGTTTTACTGGTACAAATATGTACATCACAAAACAGTATGTAAAAAAAATACAATACCAACAATGTCTAAGTTCTTTTTTCCGGGTGTGTTTTTTATATTTTTTTACTGCTTAAGTTAATTCTTATTTGTTTCCTTTCATTTAGACATGAGTCCAAGTTATATGTCCATTAAAACAGACTGAGTATGTGTCTATGTCAGTATTGTAGTGAAGTGACATTAATCATCTCTGATAAATTAAGGTAATCATCGCATCACTGTATTAGGAATGCTCTGTTAAGTTAAGACTCATTAGCTCTCATTATTTTAGGAATGCTCTGTTAAATTAAGATTTTCATTACATCACTGTTAATGGAATGCTCTGTTAAATTAAGAATTGCACAAAATTTTACTGTTCTAGGAATGCTCTCTGTTAATTTAACTCGTTAGATTTCACTGTTCTGGGAATGCTCTCTTAAATTAAGATTTTTCATTGCATTACTGTTCTAGGAATGCTCTCTGTTATACTAAGACTTTCATCAGATTTCACTGTTTTAATATACACATAGATGTTAAGAGAAGCTCATTTGTGAACCAAGTCTTCATAACTTCACCAGAAGAATCAAGCTCTGTTTTTATAATGGAATACCTCGGTGTTCCAGGGTTATATTACATGTGAAAATATTCTTGTTTACGTGTGGTCACTTTATACTACCTGTGCATTGTATCAGCTTAGCATTAATAAATATAAAAAACAACAACCGTTATATCATGTAAATAACTTATTAATGGACATATAGTTATTAAGAATGTTTACGAGTGTAATAGTATAAGGCATAGTTCAGAAATATCATAAGGTTTCACATCCTTGGTTACCTTTTTCAAATACAAAACATGTGATAATTATTCTTTTCTTTTATCATAATCAGTGATGTAGTATTCCTAACATGGTAATTATTAAGGGATGTGTCTCTATATCCATATTATTGTTGTTGTAATATGACTACGCTTCAACAACGAAGGCTGGTAATTATATTAATTTAACAAATTTGAAAAAGATTATGAGAGCTAGACCATCATTGATTTAGCCATATATAACAGTCAGTGTATAACGTCTATGTGACTCGATGACAACATGAGGACTGAGGAGCCTAGAGTAACTAGTCAAATGAGTCACTAAAGTTACGTAGATAAACACCAGAATATGACTTTGAAATTTCTGATATTTTGGAATATAACTAATGTGACATTATTAACGTACCATCATGTATTACAATATACTGGTAATAATAATGTCATGCTTTTAACATGCTCACCTTTTCTGCTCTCTGCTGTACCTTCACTATGATGTGCACTGGAGCATCTTAAAATGTAGTGTACAGTACGTGTTGAGCTGAAGCCTAGTCACCATCCAACACATTCACATGGAAACCCATCCTTTCTTTCACTCTCTTCTTAGATCTAAGGCCGTCACTGGCTCTTTCCACCTCCAACATGACTTCCATTTGGGCGTCTACCCTTGGCGTGTTGGTATTACTTATCAAAAAGATAATTATAAAATGACAGAATCTTGATGTATTTAATCTTATAGTTTAAATGAAAATAAAAACAATTATAACAAAATTGTTGTCTTTACATTAGACCCATCAAAGCTTTGAGTTATTAATTGCAATTCTAATGCAGGGGTTGGTCCATGGGGTCCTGGGGTCCAGACAGACACCCCCCCCCCCCTTTTCATCAGAAAATTCCAACACTTTTCTTTAATGCAATATGTACTCAGACGTTTTTTTAAATGAAAAAGTAATTACCTATTGACCTCAGAATATCTCCTAATATCAAGTGCACATGGCTTCAAAAATGGTCTCAAAATGCCCATGATATTGGTCAGCAGGGCCGGATTCAGGAGTGGGCAAAGTGGGCAGCTGCCCAGGGGCCTCCACATATTACAATATTTTATTTATGTGTTTATTCATTTGGATTAGTTTTATTTTCATTCTTTAAAATTTATGTTTATCTATTCCATCACGTAAAACTATGTTCAGCAAAAAGCGTGATAGAAATTAGGCTTGCTACTCCTTGAAATTCATGAATACCTGGTTTTCCTATGAACCGTATATTTTTAATGAATGCTATTGTTTGTGTTGCTAATAATGTATTTAGAATTCCACAAACATATATTGATTAAAAATGAACTACATGGAATAACGAAATTTAGATTACAAAAAAAAACAAATAAAATATTTTTTCATTATCACTTCCATTACGAATGCCATCAGTTGAGTTAATACTTATTCTGAATCTATCTGACCTTGGACTTAAAGAAGCCTATACATTCATTCTTGAACAGAACCATTATTTGAGTAGAGGTTTATCTGATTAATGATGCAAAAAATCATCTCTCTGTAATAACTAATAATATATTCTTTTCTGTGAAGTCTCTTGAAAATTTTTGACATGTGCGGTAGTAGCTATATCAGGGCTGGTCGACTTGAAACCACATGAATGACTCCAGTCATGTCTCACTTTTGTGTGTGTATGTGTGTTGGGAATTTGTACACTATCAATAAATATACAGTTAATCAAAAATTTATCGATGTTCTAATTTCCTCAATATAACTGCATATGGCTTCAAAATTCTCCAAAGAAGTGTTCAAATTTCACAATTTTCCCGGGGGGCTTACAGCGCCCCCCGGAACTCCCAGATGTTTAGGCTCGCTTCACTTTCCACCCCACCTTCTTGGGTAGTTATAATGAGGGGGGCCTCCACAAAGAGGCTGCCCATGGGCCTCCACAGGTTTAAATCCGGCACTGTTGGTCAGTTTATACAGTTTCAATGTGTCCCTATACGCAGTCCTCTCAGGCATGATATCATCTGACTGGCCTTCATTCACATACGCCACCTGGGTCCAAAGTTCACCTGTTGTCCTTGTATGGGAACAGGAAGCCAGTTTACCACACCTACTTGAAGTTCATTATTAATAGCAATATCATTTATTTAATGTATTGTAAACTTTTTAACGAAAACTTCAAGTAGGTGTGGCAAACTAGCCGCAGAGTTTTAATGAATATTACTACTAACTTTAGATAATGTATTAAATTCTCTAAATTTTAAAACAGTCTTACACTTTAAATGAAAGAAAACGTTTGTTTCTGGTTGAAAGTAGGGGAAACTGAAGTATTTTATACAGTAGTCCGATGACAGAATGGTTAAAAGGAATGGAATCGTGTTTTTGAGACATATACCTTGTTTTGTTAATGTTTATGGTAGATTAGGTCCTACTAATCATAAATTAACTGGGTGCCAAGCTTTCACCATACGGATTTTTTTTACCAAATTCAATATGGCTGACGGATGTGTAATATTTATATGATACTAATGTCTGGTCCCTCCCTCCTGTTACTACTCACGTTCTTGTATTCCAACAGAGCTTAAATCCCTGCCTGCATACCTGCCTGCCTGCCTGCCTGCCTTGAGCGTGGTTCAGGTGTGTTAGAGGCCAGGTGTGATGGTCAGATGTGAAATAGGTATGGTGGGTGCGATTAAATTGCAATGGCCAGGTGTTTAAGGTGAGTGTTGGTCAGGTGTGGTGGCCAGATGTGTAAAGGTGGCCGTGGGCAAGACAAGAAGGTGAAGGGGGTTGAGGAAGGAGGCCATATATAGAGTTCTAAGAAGGACCTCGAGGTAAGGAATGAGCAGGTATTCAGACGGAAATGCTCGTCGTGGGTGTGCAGTGAACCTCGAGACTTCGTGAATATCAAACCGAAGACATCGTTTTATTTTCTCCTATAGGTAGTAAAAACCAGATTGTCAATAAGCTCGTAGATTCAAATTTGTCTTTACACTGAGAAAATGAAAGCATGGATGACTGGTTCACTCAAGGAGCTAGATAATGATAGAAGGTGAATAGTGAAATATCGTGGAAATGTCACAATTCTGTCATTACGAGAGATATTCAGTACTCTAGCCTCGTATACTATTAGACCCCCAAGTGTTTGATGATCACGATTATAACTATCAAAGCATAATAATGAGGCTAGTCCCTCTGCTCTGATGGTTGAGTCTTTGTAGTTAGATTGCATATTTATCCCCGTGTACAAAAGGTATACTCTCATAACGTAGATAATTATACAGCGAGATATTAGTAGTAGGATAAGTGTGGTTAATTACCGTACTTGGGGTGAATCATAATGCTTAAGGTATGTCCGTATCTGAACCAAGGTAAGGAGGTCAGCCCTATACCTTAACGGTACATTCTGTTTTTTGTTTTGTTTTTTGTCTGAATAAATACATAAATAAATAACACGAGAGAAGATATTCACCGCAGTCTCCTTGATACTTTATGCAAGGTTGTATGTACATCACTTTACCCTGAACAATGTGCTTGTAGATAACATTGGTAATACTAATTTAGGAAGATGTTTAAAGAGTTTGATTTCATTTTTCTATTCACATTTTTATTACTGATTAAATATCGTCGATTATACATATAATTGTTCGAAGTATTTAAACGTATAGACCATTTGTAGTATTCCACCCGTATAAAGTTTCTGTAAGTGAGGTGGGTAAGGACGGTAGTCAGGGCCGGATTCAGGAGTGGGCAAAGTGGGCAGCTGCCCAGGGGCCTCCACAATCTGGGAGCCTCCACATATTACAATATTTTATTTATTTGTTTATTCATTTGGATTATTTTTATTTTCATTCTTTAAAATTCATGTTTATTTTTGACATGTGCGGTAGTAGCTATATCAGGGCTGGTCGACTTGAAACCACATGAATGACTCCAGTCATGTCTCACTTTTGTGTGTGTGTGTGTGTTGGGAATTTGTACACTATCAATAAATATACAGTTAATTAAAAATTTCTCAATGTTCTAATTTCCTCAATATAACTGCATTTGGCTTCAAAATTCTCCAAAGAAGTGTTCAAATTTCAAAATTTTCCCGGGGGGCTTACAGCTCCCCCCGGAACTCCCAGATGTTTAGGCTCGCTTCACTCGCCACCCCACCTTCTTGGGTAGTTATAATGAGGGGGGCCCCCCACAAAGAGGCTCCCCATGGGCCTCCACAGGTCTAAATCCGGCACTGACGGTAGTATAGCTCCAGTGCACACAACATTCCCTGAAGGTGACCACGTCATCCTAACCTCACCTGGTGGTCGTCCCGCTGACTTCTTGGTAACTCCTAATGAATGCTTCAGTAACCACCTGGAAATTCTCTTCGTCTTACACACGTTGGTCTGTCTCTCTGTATTAACTCATCAACATAACCTGATTCCTCTAAACCTTTTGTTCGAGTCATGGACAGTTTGTTTCCTTGATCGTGGTACATTAGGAGATTTATCACTCAAGGGAAAGAGGACCTCAGCACAGCGTTTGTTAGGTTAGGTTAGGTTAGGTTACGTTAGGTTAGGTTAGGATAATCGGTGAACTGATATCAGTTTCTTGGAGTTATTTGACGTCATTAGATTTATCCACCAAAAGCTCTTATGTGATATTTTTCTTAGTTATAATTTTTTATGAAATATGTGACTCCATGCAGTTGCCAAAAAAACACGACACAAAATCGCGCCGAAATTACATTTATTACTCGGTTATAATAACAGAAACGACTTAGAAGTGTAATTTGGATTTTTGATCTTCGGGCGCCAAAAGAGCACCATGTTTTGTAACTACATAAACGTGACTTTCATTTTTTTTTACCACTTACCAGATTATTAGCAGTTCGGGCATATTTAAAAAAAAGGGATTGTAGGGATTAAACTCCTCCCCTGAAATTATACAACATTTTTTTACTCATTCACGAACTCATAATATTGTTGTGAATTCTCCGTAAGTAGGGACACTTGGTTAAATGAGGAATAAAAATAAAAAGTTAATGTATAAATTTATTAACCTTAATTAAGACACGTTCATCTATCTGTGTGTAACATAAGTTTCCAGTAACATGTAAAGGTTATTAGTTTACGGTCATCATCAGATCCTGTTAATAAAGCCATGAATCACAGGTAACCATCATTAGTGGTTACTTCTCTGTTGTTGACTGATTGTTTTAAGTGTGTCGTTGAACTTATCAATTTAAGTTTGGTGAATTCTTATTGTTACGCTTCTTCAAACATTGATGTGTAATTTGTCTTCTATTTTCCAGATTTTTTTTTTGGGGAGGGGGAGGGGGAGGGGGAGGGGGAGAGGGGTGGGCGCATGAACAAGGCTCAACAGTCAGCGAGTAAGACCTGAGTCAGCTGTAGCTCCATCTTAACAGCAAGGTAACCAATCACTTCATCTACGCTCTCTGTTTCTCTCTCCATCATCATCTTCACGAACAAAACACTGGCCCACCTCCCCTATACATTATGTGAGTATTTATTCCTCTTTTAAATGGTAACTTTTAATCACATTCCAAGAACTTTATACATAGTAACATTCGATGCCTTCCTACCTGCACAAACCAAAGTTTCGGATTCTCAGAGGTTCAGACGTTTTTCCCTAAGTGAAAGGGGCGAGAACGCATCTAACTGGCTCATTCAAACTCCAAAATAGTTCACCAACGAAACGATTTTGAAATTGCACTGAGGCTGTACCGTAACCAGCACTGTGCTCTCTTAAGTACTGGTTCAGGTAAAAAAA